GGGTGGTCAACTGCATGATTTCAAGATCCCTTCTTTTCATGCCTTGATGACACTGAGTTTACTCACCCTGCAGGAGCTGTCCCAGATGCAGACCCAGGTCAGCGACACCTCCGTGGTACTGTCCATGGACAACAACCGCAGCCTAGACCTGGACAGCATCATCGCTGAGGTCAAGGCCCAGTACGAAGACATTGCCAACCGCAGCCGGGCTGAGGCTGAGTCTTGGTACCAGACCAAGGTGAGTATGGGCACCTCTGTGATAGGGTTCAGGACTAGTGTTTTCTGAAGCCCCAAATCATCATTTAACTATTAGCCACCTGCTTCCAGAAACATGTGAGCATTTCCATCTCTTTCAACTTGGCAGAAGCATCTCTGATCCTATGAAAACTTGGCTTAAAATGTGTATGGAAACCCACCCATGCACACTATTATGGGGTCAGGCGATGCTAGGCACTCAGGACAGCCACCACCCCCACATCACTTATGATCTGGTTAGGGGTTGGATGAGACTCTAAAACATCCCAGAAACAGTCATAAAGCTGTTTCTGAATGGCTTACTTATTCGGTACATGTTTATAGAGATCCTACAATATGCCAAGGAGATTACAGAGTTGTAAATTAATAAACTGCAAACAGAACCCAAGGTCTGGGAGACCATGAACTAAATAGACAATCTTGGAAGGGAAAAGACAACATTAACAAAAAGCTTCCACGAAGAGGTGCATTTTCAATCCACTTTGGAAGCAGCAAGGTACAAAAGAGTGCTGAGCAAGGTGTTCAGGACTGAGCAAGAAGTTCTGTGGGGCTGGAAGGCAGAAATTAGCACTTTGCTAAGCAAGAGAATTTGTATCTGGAAGAGAGAGGTTGGAACAACCAGAGAGAGCTACTGTCCAGAAGTACAGATGGCAAGAAGGCCTGGCTTTGGAGGTTATAGTAAGCAGGATAGTCCAGTGGAGGAGATGAGCACCCTGACAAATTCAGACGCTTTTCAGGGGGCAGCTGCTCACCTACAGGCTGCCTCCTATCCCTTGCCCTGCTCTGTGCACTCATACCTTAGTCCCTACCCCTGCAAGGTGGTGGGAAGGAAGAGGTAATCAGCTGACAGGGGTGGACAGTGCAAAGGCAGCCTTTTGATGGTGAGTGGAGGTGAAATGCACTTAACCCCCAAGTGGAGTGGTTGAAATTTACAGCAATTTCTTTTGTTGGTGATGCTGTTGTTCCCTTTAACTGTGTGTATCCAAAATCAGGAGCTGAGCTATTCAGCATTTTCAAAATCCAACAGATAATTGCTCAGGCAGGGGTCCTTCTTTCATTGGAAAAGGTGTGGGTTTCACTCCAATCCACTCAACACGGGGTGCATTTATTTCTCCTAAATGAGTGTATCCTGGATGTGCCCCTAAATGAGATGGGAGCTACCTGAGATGGAGATTCTGTTACAAAGTCTTCAGAATCAGGCCCTCTACAGCCTCGGCTCCACCCAACACCATTTCCTTACAATGTCATCCCTTCCCCAGCAGTGGTGTTTGGAGGGCTACCAAAATTCACGATCACAATCAGTCTGGATGTATGTTCTGACCAGGAGCTTCCCAAGGAGAGTGACCAAGTCTCTCTCATTCCCAGAGCTCACCATGCCTCTTCAGGCCCCAGGATCCTCACATAGGCTGTTTCCGGTCTGGAGTGGTCTCTCTCAGCCAGTCGCTTAGCTCCCTCCCTCCCATCCTTCTGAACATAGCTCAAGCATCTCCATCCCTGGAAAGACTGCCCTGATAGCTTCTTCCACTTCCATAGCTGGGTCAGATTCCTTTATTACACTCTGGTAAGACTTTGTTAAGTTCCTAAGAGGCACTTTTCTCAGTTTGGAACTATATATTCAATAATATGCTGCTTTGATTAATGTCTATCTCCCCCAGGAAACTGTAAGCAGGGGTCTATGTTCTTCACAATATTCCCAAAGCCTAGTATGTGCCCATCAAGTAGACGTGCTCAAGAAATACCACCTGAATAAATGAGTGAAGGAATGGGTGAATGATCAGTGAATGGATGGGCCTGCTGTGGCGCTGATGGCCAGGCTGTGCATACAGGGAGTCCCCCCTGGCATTTGACCAGATGACTGACTCTGCTCTGGTTCTTCAGTATGAGGAGCTGCAGGTCACGGCGGGCAGACACGGCGATGATCTTCGAAATACCAAACAAGAGATCTCTGAGATGAACCGGATGATCCAGAGGCTGAGAACCGAGATTGACAACGTGAAGAAGCAGGTAAAGTTTAGGCAGGGCCAAGAATTCCCTGCATACTCATTCCTCCTGGGTCATTCTGCCATGTGCATAGGATTCCAACCAAGAAGCAACACGTGTCCAGGGGCTACCAGGAAGGCTCTCAGCTTCTTCCTTTCCTCACAGTGCTCCAGCCTGCAAACAGCCATCGCTGACGCAGAACAGCGCGGAGAACTGGCCCTCAAGGATGCACGAGCCAAGCTGGTGGACCTGGAGGAAGCCCTGCAGAAGGCCAAGCAGGACATGGCCCGGCTGCTGCGCGAGTACCAGGAGCTGATGAATGTCAAGCTGGCCCTGGATGTGGAGATCGCCACCTACCGCAAGCTGCTGGAGGGCGAGGAGTGCAGGTGAGGGCAGCGGCAGTAACTCCATCCCAGCTGCCTGGCTATTCCTAGGGCCTCAGGTTGCTGCAGCCCTCTCCTCACCTGGAAAGGAGAGCAAAATGCAGGTGGAATTGAATTATGACAAAGAATACAGGTGCAATTTTTTTCATGTTAGTGAATCGTTATCAAATTCCCATGTTTGAGGTACAACTACCTACAGCACCCCATCGAAATCTAGGACCTGATCAGGTCTAAGTCATCAAGTTCTATGAAAGGAGAAATCTGGTTACGTGGCAGGGCTGGATGTGTGGTATGAAAGGCTCTAGACCGAGAATAAATTGTCCTAGGAGTTAGGCTAACTAATAGGCTATGCAACCTTAGCAAAGTCAGTATCCCCTCTCAGGCCCTCAGTTTCTTCAAAGATAGAATAGAGAGCAGGTCACATGATCTGGCTCAGTGGAAGCTTTGTGCTCTACCAATTACCGACTGTGTGACCCAGAGCAAATTACTTAACTTCTCCATTCCTCAGTGTCCTCGCCTGTACAATGGGGATAACCATAGTTTTTAGCTCATATGTTTTTAAGAGTGTTAATACAGGGGCTATACATGAAGCTCTTAAAATAATGCAGGGTATACAAAAAGTGTACATTACATAATCATTATCATTTAATTTAGTGGCCAAAGTTATGGGCTTGGGAGTCAAATGAATCTGGCTTCAAATTGTGATGCTGGACAAATTAATTAACCTCTCTAAGCTTGAATTTCTCCATCTGTAAAACTGAGATAATAACACCTACTTAATGGAGTTTTTGAGAGAATTAAGTGGGCAGAATGTAGGTAACAGGTACCCAATAATTGTTAGCTCTTTTAATGTTCTAAGTGTGTATTTATAAATGGATGCCAGTTCTGTCCTCAAGATGCTAAAACAAAATTACTCTATTTGCTACCACGATAATAGACTGATTATTGCAAGTGTTATGTTTATGACTCAGACTCCTCTCCACACCTATAATAACCTTAGCACTGCCCAGTGCACGACAATGGTCCATTGTTCAGAGAGAATTCTTCTTGTTCTATGACAAGTCCTGCCTTTTCAATGACACCAGTGTATGATGGCTTTAATTTTCATAAGGTGTCCACCTAGTCTAAACCAAAAATGGGCTTCTGGGATTACAGGTTTTACTCCTATGAACCTCAAACTCCACATTATTTCATTCATTAAATTATTACTTTTTAATATTACTAGTTATTTAAATAATTTCAACCTCCACTATTTATGCAATAAAAATAAAGGGTTTGTAATGCATTTAAAACAATTACAAAAATGTCATTTTAAATGCCCACAAACTTCTGGACACAATAGTAACAACCTCTTTCTCCCCCCTCCTTCCAATCAGGCTGAGTGGAGAGGGTGTTTCTCCGGTTAATATCTGTGAGTATGACATTCTTCGCATCATTTGGAGTGTTTGTGATTGGGGGATGGAGAGGTGGTGGGCGCGCATGAGGCATTGGAAAGGATCCCACCAAAAGGGTTCATTTTGAGAAGGTTTGACGTTCTGAATTTGTTAAAAAGAGAGCCATCTTAGGAGAGAGCCTTCCATGTCACAATACTGACCTCTTTGTAAGTGTGTGAGTGCCACAAAGGGGCACTGGGAGGTTTGCTGAACTCCTTCTGCATAGAAGACCATAGGCCACACACCCCCGCTCCCAGGACTTCACACTGTTCTCCGTGGGGCTGCAAGTCTGGCTCAGAGATGAGTGTCCGATGCAGACAGACTTTATGAAAACTCTTGGTCTGCCCTCAGCCTTTGGAGGGAGCCTCATGCTGAGCACAAAGGCATTGTTATTCAGACAGCCTCTTCCCGGAATGATTTGGGAAGAAGCCCTCCTGCTTGTCTCGACTCCGTGGATTATAACCACAGAGAGTAACCAGGAGTTTTCAGGGCAGTGAGAGCACCATACACATAGCAGGGGGTGCAGCTGCTGAGGAATGAGAAGCTTTCCCAAGCTGGCCCCACCCCCAGCAGAAGCGTCACTCAGAGCTCAGTGCTGGCACCTTGAGGCCAACAGAAATGACTTCTACAACATACACTCTGTAAGTGAGTTTTGTTTCTCTATGTGAGATTCACAAAAGCAATTGGTTATATTAGCCAATGGTTCTAGAAGGCAGAGCTCTCAACCACCCAGGTGTCCAACCTTGATGTCTTTGTCCACGGTTCTCAACCTGTGAGTCGCGAACAATGAAAATACATCCTGCATATCAGATATTTACATTACGATTCATAACAATAGCAAAATTACAGTTATGAAGTAGCAACGAAAATAATTTTATGGTTGGGGGTCACCACAACATGAGGAACTGTATTAAAGGGTCGCAGCATTAGGGAGATTGAGAACCACTGGGTCTCCAGAGATCCTCAAAGCTAATTTGGGGAATGGACGGCACCACCTCGAAGTTTCCATTCTCTTGGAGCACCTGAAAGTCTGTGTTGGTTTCTGAGGGCTGCCACAACAAAGTACACAAACTGGGCAGCTTAAAACAACAGATGTTTATTGTCTCACCATCTGCAGACTAGAAATCCCAAACCGAGGTGCCAGCGGGACCATGCCCCCTCTGAAACCTATAGGGGAGAATGCCCCCATGCCTCTTCTAGCTTCTGGTGGTTGCTGCCAATCCTTGGCTCACCACTCCAATCTCTGTCTTTGTGGTCAAATGGCCATATCCTTGTGTGTCTGTCTTCACATTAGGATACCTTCCCTCTTCTTATAAGGACACTGGTCATACTGGGTTAGAGCCCACCCTAATGATTTTCCTCATAACTTGGTTATATCTGCAAATATTCCAAATAAGGTCCCATTCTCAGGTACTGGGGGTGATGACTTCAACATATTTTTTGAAGGACACAATTGATCCCATAACAGAATCTATTTTTTAATTTCAACTTTTCTTCTCAAGAACCCAAAGTAGAAGACTAGATGTTTAAGGTGGTGGTGGTGGTTATAAAAGTTAGGAAAAGAACAGGTTGGGACGAGAATAGTTGGCTGGCCAATGGGTTGGCTGTCACTTGGTCTATCAAGAATATTCCAGCCGCCCCCACTCTGGGATTCTGAGCACAGAAGCTGGGGGACACCAAGGAAAGCACATGTGTACCTCCCTATGAGCTTCCAGAAGGCAGGGAGACACCAGAGCCGAGTCTGCAGGGGGAGATCGGACAGCGCAGCAGGGGGGAGTGGGTGGGATCAAAAGGGAAGGCAGCTGGACTGGAACAGCTTCCCAGAGGAGAGAAGTCTCCATTAAGTTCTGGAAGGAAGAGAGAAGCATGGAGTAGTGGCAGGGAGGCAGAGAGCCATTCCAGACTGGGAGGATGCGGAACTGCTTCACAGAGAGGACCCAGCTGAGGCACAGCACAGTGATCCCACTACACAGGCGGGAAAATTAGGAGGCTAACAGCTGCCTGAGGAGACTACCCTGCCCACCCCACCCCCCAGGAACTTCAGGGCACAGGCCCTGACACCCCCAGTGTCTTCTCTCCTGCCTTTGAATCTGACCACATCTCCTCTCTTCCCACAGCTGTGGTCACCTCCACTGTTTCCAGTGGCTACGGCAGTGGCAGCGGCATTGGAGGTGGAGGCCTGGGTCTCGGTGGGGGCAGTGGCTATTCCTTCACCACCAGCGGTGGTCACAGTTTGGGCATGGGGCTGGGAGGCTCCGGCTTCAGTGCCAGTAGCAGCCGGGGCCTTGGGGGCAATGGTTCCAGTGTCAAGTTTGTCTCCACCACGTCTTCCAGCCGAAAGAGCTATAAACACTAAGTGCAGCCACACACTCGCTCACCCCGGTCCTGAAACCAGGTTTACCCACTGACCTGGCCTGTGTGCCCACACCCTTGGACACCTGGGTCCTTCTCCTACTTCTCCCCGTCACAAGGCCCACCTGTGCTGCTAGGAAGCCTGGCATCCTGGTAAACCCCAGTCTCCAACCTGAGCCAGCCTCTGCCCTCCTGACAGTCCCCTAGACAGCCCCTGGAGCCCTCTCTGTGCCAGAGCACAGACTTTCAAGATTCACATTTGGCTTGTCTTGCAGAGACTCCCCTTCAGCTCCTCCTCCCTCCTTCCCACCCTCCAGATGCAGAAATGCAGAGTCTGTGTCTCCCAGACCATCTTCATGCCAGGTTGTCAGGCCCCCTGTCTCACGGTGCTTATAAGCTGCCTTCTGGGAGTGAGGGCTCCCTCTCTCCCCTCTCTGGAATGTGTCAATTAAATGTATGTGTAATGTGTTTGGTGTCCAGCCCTCTGTTTGGAATGGTGACGGAGCACAGAACAATTCTCCTCCTCCTCCTCCTCTTCCCAGCACAAGGCCTCACACAGGAGTACCCAGAGCACATCAGACTTTCCTTCCCCACTTCTCAAAAAAATTCCCCCTCATCCTCCTCCTCCTCCTCCTCCTCTTCCCAGCACAAGGCCTCACACAGGAGTACCCAGAGCACATCAGACTTTCCTTCCCCACTTCTCCTCAGAGCTCAGAAGGCTAGACTTGGGGGATATGGGAAAGACAGGAGGGCAGACTCCGCACCCAAGCTTCTGCCCACTTCCTCCTACCCCTTGTTGGGATGTCTTCTTTGAGAAGCCCCAGCCCCTGGGCAGAAGCTCTGCCCAGCTTCCCCGCTATGTATGTCATGCAGGGTGATGCCATCCCTCCCAAAGCCAGACTGTTTCTCCAAAACACTGACGTAGGGTGGGGGGCCCAGCCCTCTGCCAGCAAAGGAACCATTGTTACCTGACAGCTTCATACTTGCAGACCTGAGCAGAGAAATCACAGGGGAGGAACGGAGTTAAAAGCCAGCCCCGGGGCAGCACCTTCACTTAGCACAGGAGATATTTAGGCCCATAATTGCAGCAATGAGACATCCGGAAGCACCCACATTCCTGAGTTTACAGTCTCCTGGACCCCTCTCATCAGGGAAAATTGGGAAGGATTGAAAAGGAAAGGATGGCAAGAAGGAGAGAAATGGCACTGAGAACAATTGTTAAACATCCCTGGTGGAGGGGGAGGATCAAGTTAAGAGCTGGAACAAGAGGACTAAAGCGGGCAGGAGTTTGCTTCTCTGTAACAAGCCACCTCTTTCTGTCGCTATGAGGTGCAGTCAGGCCACTGGACCCCCACATTGGCTCAGCAGTCACTGGCTATCTGAGGTCTGCCAAGTCTCTTAACTACTCCATGCCTCAATTGCTTCATGTGCAAAACAAGAACAGTAATAGCCACCACGTGGTGCTGTGTAAAGATTAAATGAGAAAGCAGGTGTAAAACAGCTACCCATGGCAGCCACTCAGGAAATGTTAGCAATTTTTATTGCCCTCTACCTTCACAAAGTTATTATGAGAATCAAATGACACAATGATTGCAAATGACCTGCCACATAGTCTTGCACAGATTGAGTCCTCAACAAATGGGGTTTCTTTATAAGTGATAAGAAGTGCTTGGGTTCTAAGTCCAAGACCCGGAAATCAAGAAGAGAGGAGCCGATGAGACGCAGTGGGAGTGTCAACAGCATGTGGCAGAGAACCTGGGCAAGTGGGGGCCTCAGGACCCAGGCCTGCCCAGGGCTCGAATGCCCAAGCCCAGTCTTGCCCTAGGTAGGGAGTTCCCATAATTATTAGCGGGGCAGGAAGATGGGCCGTGGCCAGACATGCCATTGAGATGAACTCAACACAGTGGTCTGTGATCTTCTCCAGCCAAGCCCAGTTCTTAAGGGGATAAAAGCCAAGGAGACTTTGGGACAGTTAGACTCTGAAGCCTCCTCATTTTTGCTCCTGTGACATTTTTGCTCCTCTGACCCTCTGCCACCAACTCCCACCATGGCCCAACGATCCTCTATCACCATCAAGTCAGGGGGCACTCGGAACTTCAGTACTTCCTCAGCGAACTTCCTCCCGGGCTCCCGGACCAGCTTCAGCTCTGTCTCCATGACCCAAGGCGGGAAGAGATTTGGAGGTGGCTTTGGGGGTGGCTTTGGAAGCAGGAGTCTCCATGGCCTTGGGGGCAACAAGAGAATCTCCGTCAGTGGGGGCTACCGCTCCAGCCGGGGCAGCTTCGGTGGTGCTGGCTATGGGATGGGTCTTGGCGGCATAGGGTACAGAGTAGCAGCCTGCAGCGGGTATGGAGGTGGGATGATTCCTGGATCTGGGGGCATCCAGGAGGTCACTGTCAACCAGAGCCTCCTGACACCGCTGCACCTGGAGATCGACCCTTCCCTTCAGCGGGTGCGGAAGGAGGAGCGGGAGCAGATCAAGACTCTCAACAACAAGTTCGCCTCTTTCATCGACAAGGTGAGAGGCAAGTGGGATCCCCACTAGAAACGCTGGGGGATCTCTGCTCTCTGTGCTTTTCTGAGGTCAACTGTGTCTTGCCCAAGACCTGTGATCCTGGGGTGGGAAGACTGCTGACAGGGTGGAGGAGGAGTGGTTTCCCATTTTGTTGAGGTGGGAGCAGAAAAATGTCTACCTCCAGGCTCCTGAGCTTTCTGATCCACTGCAAAGACATTGCTCTTTTGATGGATTGTGATCGTGTACTGGGCTTACAATTAGATAGTGAAAGGGCATCCGTTTGGAGGGAAGGAGATAAAGGAAAGAAAGATTACAAGGTCGGTCCACAGAAGTGGGCTGAGGTCACTTTTTCCTGCCAAGTGTAATAGGGGCAAGCCCTCTTGTGGCAACCCCTCTAGTGATTTGGGCATGTCTAAGAAGCTGGGTGGTTGGCCAGGGGCTGCTCAAAGTGTTTCACTCTTTTCTTTTAGAGAGAGGAAAGCTGTGACTTCAGCCCTGGGTCCCCCCTTGCTATGTGGCCTGGAATCCTAGGGATTTCTCCAGTTTGGGGAAAGATATAATTCTATTTTGGATTCTATTTTGCCTCATCACCCCTGCTTCACACCTGAGCTGGTTGTTTTTGCCTGGGAAGAACCAATTCAAGAATCTGGATCTTTTAGACTCCATACCTGGGATATAGAAGAAAGTGCTAAAGAGGCAACCAGCTCAGGTCTCATTTTTGGCTCTACTGCTAGGAGAATCCCTAAGTTCTTGGGCCTCAGTTGGGTTGGATAGATGGACTCTGAGGTGCCTTTGCAGGTCTAACAGTCTATAAATGCCTCATCATATGGACCCAGATCTTTAAATGTGTAAAACCTAACCACTGAGGCAGTGGTTCTTCAATTTTATCACCCATGTGTTTAAAATTGGCCTGGTGTTTGCATCAACAGCTGTGAGATTTCCAGGAGCCTGGCTCTGAGGGGAAAAAGTACTATTTTGGATTCATCAGGAAGGCACATAGGAACCAAAGGGTGGTAACTAGGGAGGGACTTAGAGCCAGGATTGCACTCATTCCTCTGCAATGGAAGAGAAAGCTGGTGGGGGGGTGCATTTGTCAAAGACCCTCAGCAGGCAAATTGCCATCTCCAAAGTCTTGGAGGCTCTATTCTTTCATTCAATGAGGTTGTGTGTCATTCCAGCTGCTCCCAATGAAAGGACTTTGCTTAGGGAGAAAGGTTTTGCATGTTTTTCCAGGCTGAGGGGCAGATAAGTGCAATTTAAGGAAACCAAATTTGTAGCACAAGAGCACAGAGGACCTGAGAGAGCAGAAGGAGGAAGGGCTTACCAAGGCCACACAGCTAGAGAGACACGGCTGGGATTGTGTCCAAATTCCTTCAATACAACTCCAGAGTGACCCATTCCAGCATTCCTAGAGGGTATGGGCAACTGAGTCCAGAGTCTAGATCTTGAGAAATCATGTTGGAAAGAAAATAGACAGGTTGAATGTTCTGCTAAGAACTTCCTGTCCATTTAATGGGAATCAAAATTTCACCCAGTAATGTGATGGGAGAGTGTTCTTTTCTTCACCTAAGACACATCAGCGTGGTTTGGTGTGGTCAGACAGTTTCCAGTCCCTCTGGCCCTCCTTGCTTCTCCCACCTCCAAATCAAACCACCACCTCTCTCCTATTGCACCGACCTTTGCTTGCCTCTCTACCTTCTGGGCTGAGAATGATGAGAAGGAGCCTGCTACCTGGACTCTGAGGTCTTTCAGCCCCACCCCTTGCACTGTTGGAGGGTCCTGGGTCGCAGCGCTCTCTGAGAGGTTGCTGTAAGGAAGCCCTCACAGTCTCTCACCTCTGACTGGGGCAGGTGCGGTTCCTGGAGCAGCAGAACAAGGTCCTAGAGACCAAATGGAGCCTCCTGCAGGAGCATAAAACCACCAGGGCCAACATTGAGCCCATGTTTGAAGCCTACATCAACAACCTGAGGCGGCAGCTGGACAGCCTGGGCGGGGAGCGGGCAAGGCTGGAGACGGAGCTGAAGAACATGCAGGATGTGGTGGAGGACTTCAAGAACAAGTGAGTGGACACTCAGTCAGCTCCTCCAGAAGTGCCCAGTGCAGTGGGGAAATGGGACACACTTTGGGCACCGAGGTTACTCGGAAAATGAACTGGGACCCTAGGGCTTTGGGGAAGGGCTGGGGTTATACAGGATGATAACTAACATGGGCACAGAGAGCATGATATACACAACAACCTGAAAGATTCTGCAGTTGAGGAAAATAAGGCTCTGAGAGAGTGACTGACTCATTCATGTTGGACATGAGTGGCAACTTGTGAGTTAAGAATTAAGCCTATATAATCTCACCCTTACATTTGTTTCACTCAGCCCCATTGCTAATTTACATAATGTCCATGCATTTGCCCCAATGCTGGCCAAGGTGCAGGGAAAGACCCATACGTGCTGCCTTCTCCCTGGAACCACACACACACACACACACACACACAATTAAACATATAGTATCTTGTGCCTATAGACATAAGTAATTTCTTCTTTTTATTGTTCTAATTTATTTCTAATTGTCTTGGTCCAAACAAAATAAGTCATTTTTTAGTTACTGTGTGTGTAACATAGTAAGAGTTAAGGCTTTAGAGTTGCACTAATATGGTAGCCACTTGCCACATCTGCCTATTTAAATTTAAATTCATTGAAATGGAATAAAATTTAAAATTCAGCTCCTCAATCTCACTAGCCACATTTCTGGTGCTCAATTCACACATGGCTAATGGATGTGGATACCAAGTATTTCCATGATCACAGAATGTTCTATTGGACAGCAGTATAGAATCTAGTCAGTGGCATTAGGATCCTGGCTCAATCACTTACTTGCTAAAAGACCTAAAGAAAACTAACTTCTGTAAGCTCTAGCCCCTTTGCCTATTAAAGGGCATATTAATAGTATGAGCATATTA